TTTGTGCATTGTGTAACTTTTCTGATGGAGGGTCCACCACCTGCTTTTCTTCATGGAGTTGTTCTAGCTTTGCCTGGACACATGTATAGCATGTATTCATTATGAGTGTTTCTGTCTGTGAATAGGGTTGTCTCTCCGCAGATCTGACCTGTAATGTAGCCTATAATTGTCTCCCTTGTGATAGATTTAATCTCTACTGTGGAACATTCTAGCCAAAGCAATAACATATCCATGAAGACGAGCACAAAAGTTGTGCTATGCACCTTTAAGCTTCTGATCTTTTAAATAATTATTTAAGGTAATTGTCTAAATGTTCCACCACAGGGAATCTAATTTAAAATAGTTTATTATTGTTTAATGACTTGTTAATTACATTTAATGACTTATAGGGAGATTATTAAAGCTGTGCTGTGATTTCAAAATGGCTAATTTGGATGGAGAAAATGATTCTAACTGAACTTGAAAAGATATTTAGCATGTGTTCAACTAGGAATATAATATTATCATTTTACTGTTTAGTTTTACAGACAATGTATGAATTATATATATTTTTGTATGATAACTAAATTTGAACCACCACTGCCCCTGTTAACATTGATGGTTATGGGTGAACCAAAAATAATTATACAATTTTATATTTTAGAAATCATTTTACACTAGTATTATCCCTTTCCTGGTGACAGTCTTTGTACAAATGACAGCTGCCCTGGGGCAGAGACAGGAACATGAATTTTGTATTATAGGATGACTGGAGACCATAACCTGCAGAGATCATATTTAAAGTGTGCATTCCATTTTCAAATCTGGCCATACTGTGTGTTTTATAGAATCAGACAGCATGTAGTAATTGGACTGCCATGTCCACTTGCATGTGCGTTAGGAGTAAGTGTAAGTACTATATAAAGCAGAGGGTCTTTAGGGACACAGCGTGGACGAGCCTGGGATCTCACTCTGCCATATATTAGTGCACTTGTCACTTAGTAAACACTGTCTTAAACTCATTTCCATTTGGAGTTAGGAAGTGTAGAGGGAACTCCTAAGTGCATTAGAGTCACTCGCAATTTAGGTCCACTTCATCTGGAAGGCAGGCCGAGATCGCCAGGCACAAGGAAGGTGGCAGCGTGGGTAATTAAACAGCAATCAGTAATCAGAAAGACTGTGAAGCCCTGCTCCATTTAAGACAAAGTGCAACTCAGCAACACAAGAAGCTGCTTTGGCCTTTTTCACATGTCTCCTCTTGTGCCAGTCCTTAAATTCATGTTCTGAAGTGTCTCACTAAATTATACAGCTAAAAGTGGATTTAGCATAATATATGTCCTTTTAAAGACATCTTGTGAACTAGTGAACATTTATTAGGGAATTTGAAAGATTGGTCAAGTGTCAGTCCTTATCTATCTTTCTTCACCTTTTGTCAGGTCTAAATATCTAGGAATTAAAACAAATCCGCATTAAACTAAAGGCTAAATAAGGTGTATATTTTCTTTACTGATGCTACCAAGCTAAGATTCCAAACAAGAGGCCTTTTCTTTCCTGTGCCGTCACCCATGCGGTTCCCAGTGGCGTGTGGCTGGGACTGGAGCATGCTTTGATGCTGCCTCTCTTCTGGTGGTCGCTCCTCTGTAATAGGCATTGATTTGCTGAGGCGTGGCTCAAAGGCAGTGGGGCAGGCCGACCCTTACGTTGCTCATTCCCTGCGGGGCTGAACCTCACATAGTGTGAGTGTGACATGTGGCCTGCTGCTGGCCATGCTCCTAACCTGCTCTGTCACCTCTGCTCCTTATGGTGCACATATAGGCTTCTCCAAAGGGAGCTGACAGCTTGTGGCTAACACAAATAGGCGTAGTCCTGAGAGAGCACTTGTGTAATTGTTTCACAGTCTGCATTCTGGATTCCCCTGTTACATGTTCTGCTCCATCTATGTCGACAGACTGCTTTATTTACTGTGGGCTCCTGTGCAGGCCCACAGCAGGGCAGGCAAATCACCTGGAGACACATCATTAGGATGTGGTTAATGTCAATAAAAGCATGGAGCTCCATGTAGTGTTTGTAGTATCAAGACTAATTATTCACAAATTAATTATTCACAAATGTTATTAACTAAATCCACCAAAAAAGAAATCTTATTATCCAATTGACACAAATGAAGGAGGGAGCTGAATGGTAAAGTATAAGTGATTTTACATCAAGTGTCAGACTTCAGTTCATCTGTGTCCCCGAGGTCAAGGCCTGAGCTTCATTACTCATTTAGCCTCCAACTTTATATAATCAGATGACTTCTTCAAAACTCAGCTTATTTACACAAATGTAGATTTATAATGAAAATTCCATTATAGAAATATGAATAAAATGAAATTAATGATCAGAGAAAATATAACAGATACTTTCTATTGATTGTTAAAAAGTGAAGCCCAGCTGTATTATGTGAGTCATGTTTGAGCAGTGGCCTGTTGTGTGTGTCAGATAATGACAGGATGCTTGTGTTACCATTATGTAAAATATAATTTGCTCTGGTTTGATTTGGGTCTTGCCCTCCTGTGTCCTTTCTCTGTTCCTGTGCCTCCTTTTGGGCAGAGCTGCTGTATTCAGCACCATGGCCAGCTCCCTTCCTCAGAGTGAGGAACTGACTAGAACTATGTGGCCCCTTTGCTGCTGGACACCACTATTAGAATAGAGAGGCTGAAAAGAGCTCTAACCATCCACAGTGAATGAGGCCATCCTACACAGTGGCATAAAGTCATCTGTGATGGTATAAAGTAGATGAAATTCCGTCTTCCAGTCCAAGATGGAGTATGGAGTCTGGAGTCTGGCCTAAACAGCGAGGAGGGGAAACTGCTGAGAAGTTATTGTAATTTATTACCACCATTGATGCTCCTTGGTAACAATTTCAGCTCCCAAACGCAACAAAATGACACAATTAGGTGCTTATTCCATTACCTCATTTGAAGCGATTTAGAAAGTGTATGTGAGAATGCTCATCTGCAGTGTAAACGTTCATCAAATTAGAATTGAAATGAGTATCCAGGGCAGAGCTAAAGGACAAAATCGATAGTTCTTTGTTCAAGACTAAAATGAAGAATGGCCGCTCAGCAGGGACCTCTCTATATCGCTCCCTCCCTGCCTCGTGCACAAAGCCCCGCACAAACACACACTGTTTTGAATTGTGTATTCTGCTCCTGCATCCTTGGCCCTATCAGCATTGGGCTTGCTTGCTGGAGTCTCAGAGTTTCTGTCTTGGTTTTTCCTTCCCCGTTAGGAGGCAAAAAGAGGATCCTCAAAGGAAAAGCTCTTCCTTAGATAATTGCAATTAGTAGTTTTGGCTGGGCGTAGCAGGCTGGCCCTGGCCCAGCTCTGTGCTGGGGAGAGGAGTGGGCCTGCCGGGCACATGTCCAACTCTATAGCCCTCTGCCCCATGGCCTCACATGTGCTTTTGCAGAGCCAGAGAACAGCAATCATCCCTGCTCGTCAAATATGCCTTTTATGCTCTAATTGGAGAGACGCTCCAATAGGAAACCTTGTGCTGTTACTTTTTTCCTTTTACCTGGAGACGTCACAAACAACATAAAGAGTCCATTATCCAATATGGCCACATTTGTTTTTCCTGTGAAGTCCCTAGCTCAGACGCATGTGTTTACAACGTAAGGCTTATTACTCTGTAATACAACAGTAAATGTTCGGTCTGCCAGACCTCCCTCCAACAAAAACCCATTTCATGAAGGGCCTTTTATTGAAATGGATAAAGTTATGGTTTCAAAAGCTGGCATTCTTCTTCTTCACTTGGAGTATTTTCCCAAAATCACAGTGCAGTCTTACAGAGATTTACTTTGTAAAGACAAGAGGAAAATTACAAGTGTGTCACAACATAATAAAGGTCTGTATGAATGCTGTGTAGTGTACAGACGGCTGTGACACAGGAGAAATGATGTTTGGTATGTTTGTGAACAGCATGCAGCCACTCAGGTTTATGTGCAACAGCGGCTCTCAATCACACTGTGTCTGATCCGCTCAGCTTTAAACACTGGCACACAGCTCCACATAAAGGACTGCAATCCATCAATGTGCTCATTGCTGTCATGAGCAAAGAGACAAAGCTCTAAGCAAGAGTCCTCCAACACAAATTTGATTTAGCTCCATTTGCTTCAAACTGTGACATGTGAGCACTACAAGTGCTAATACAGAGTGGCACCTCTCTGCCAACAGGCATGTGTCTGTGTAGTTCACTTTCACAGGCTGCCGCTGCCTGATTTACTTATAGGCCCATTGGATTGTGCTGGATGAGGAGTGAAGTTATACTAATAAACTCTGAATCATGCTCTGCGCCGTGATGAAATCATGTGCAAATGAATTATACCTGTTTTTGTTCAGTGGATAGATGCTCTGACATATAACACAGGATAACCTTCAAAGTGTGGCTCCAACGAGTGTTTGGAGGTGAGTGCAAATCCAATGAGGGTTTGTGTACACAGGAATCTATCTTGAATGTACAATGTACACCTCTTTGCACTTTCTTTTACTCTAGCCATATGTGATAGGCATGTTGGAAATGTCAGTCTAATGAGTGATATATTGTTCATTCATACATACATATACTTTATGGAGCAAAGCCCAGCAGTTTAAAACTAAACTGGCATCTGATAACCTCCAACCGTATGTACCAAGAAGAACGTGCCACTCGTACTGTGGAGGAAAACACCATGTATGCATCTTACTACAGCTCCACAACACCGCAGTGTTACAGTTAACAGCATCTCATCAATCATCTTGTCAAAAATTGTCTTGGGAGAAAATGTCACAGGTTAAATAGCAGTAAATTATAATTTATGATGGCATTGTGATGTAGTATGTATCAACAACACAGAGTTCATTTGTTCAACTCACTGCCAGTGTGTGCTTCAAACACTTTGCTGTCTTATACACATGATCAGAACTCAATAAATCCCTTTTCTGTATGAATAATATTTGTATAAATCAATTTAACAGCGTTTGCCTTGTGTCTCTTGCAGGTGGCTAACTTGGCTTGTTCCATCTCTAACAATGAAGAAGGTGTGAAGCTCGTCCGCATGGCTGCCACCCAGATCGACAGCCTATGTCCACAGGTGAGCTTTGAAGACAAATGCTTGTACTATTACTTTCACAATTATCAACACATCTCACATCTCAAATATCTCAGTGGACTTTTTGAAAGTAAAGATAGAAAAGACAAAAAGTGTCTGGCAGAAGAGTTGGTGTGAGCTGTGAATATCGTGTAGGAGGATGTGTTGTAGTGCTGTTTCCCAGGATGCAGGTGATGGAGGAGGGTTGAATCGATCCATTGTTTCCGAGGTTAAGGGTAGGCCTCACTCACTCTATACTCAGCGGACGGACAGATTAAGGAAAAGAAGTAGGAGATGATCTGCACTTCCCCCTTTCTCTGTATCATTGGCTCCAGTCAGTTAAACATAAATCAGGATTATTCTTGTATGTTTCACTAAGGGCTGCTACTTAACACAAGCTAAGTATCAAGAGCAGGCTCCGACAATGAAGAGGCGACTAGTGTTCAAAGTACATGTGCCTTCTGTCATGGTGATAGGAATAAGAGGGGCTGTATAGTACAATTCAGCGAGCATCTCAGCAGGACACACAGAATCAATGGAGCACTTGTAACAGAGCTGTCTTATTGTCATTGTTTCCGACGTCTTGAAGTGCCACTCTTTTTCCGCTTTTAAGACAAACTGTTCTTTATCCACTGTTCAGACTAAGACCTTTACTTTCAGCTGTCAAGAGATTGTTTTTGTACAAATAATAATACAGGCGTTATATTTATAATCCCAGTAGACATGTTCTTTAATTACATAAGACGTCTTTAACTGGTTAAAGGTGCATTGTGCAACTTTTCTGGTGGAGGGTCCGTCACCTGCTTGTCTCCATGGAGATGTTACTGCTTTGCTTGGAATGTTCCATGGTATGACATTTATTTAATTATGCCTTATTTGACACCAGCCTCTTGTTATTTTTGCTAATTATTTAGAATTGATTATTACCATTTATCTTGCTCTGGCTTTCATTATAATATATTGCGTTGCGTGAGTTACTGTGTCCAAATAATTTCCCTTGTGGAGCAATAAAATCTATGTCTAAACACATCTATCTATCTATCTATATATATATATATATATATATATATATATATATATATATATATATATATATATATATATATATATATATATATAGATATAGATATAGATATAGATATAGATATAGATATAGATATAGATATATTAGATATATAGATATAGATATAGATTTTTTTTTTTTTATTACAGGTGTTTTTATTGCTCAAACATACAACAATTCTCTCTGTGAATAGGGTTGTCTCTCCACAGATCTGACCTGTAATGTAGGCTATAGTTGTCTCCCTTGCGATAGATAGGTTTAACCTCTGCAGTGGAACATTCCAGACAAAGCAATAACATCTCCATGGAGACAAGCAGGTGATGGACCTTCCACCACCTTTAATTTTGAATAATGTTATACTGATATACTGTAGAGGGCTGCACGGAACAGAATTTTGTCCCGCTCCCACCTGTGCCCACAAAGAATTGTAATTTTCATTCCTGCTCCTGCCCTCATCTGCAATATTTTTTCCCGCTCCCACCCGCAAATCCCGCAAGATAAGGACGTTCTCTTTCTTGAGCTCTATCAAACATGGAGAAGCGGAAAGGAATTGTCTAAAATGTGCACGAGATTAGACTATTTTGGGCTGCTTAAAATGTTTTTATTAATGGCAAATAAAATATCCAGCCCAAATTATATATGATAGGCAGACATTAAGTAGATTAACATGCTTATATTAAAAACAAAGCTTTAAAATTTAATTAAAATATAACATAACACTTAGCATTCTTAACCATATTTATGATAAAAGTATTATGAGTATTAATATTTTGTGTGCTTCTGTGTCAACTAGCTTATACAATTTCTTAAAAAAATTTGTAATTTTTCTATTTCATATTTACTTAATTAATTTAGTAATATCCAGATTTTAGAAAAACTGTAAACAAGAAAGGACATTGTTAAGCTTGTTTTTGTTTCTCACTGAAGGAAATAGCCTGCTAATCTCTACACTAACAGACTCTTCCTCACTTGCTCCCTGCTAGGTGATCAACGCAGCGCTCACTCTGGCTGCGCGCCCACAAAGCAAGGTGGCCCAGGACAACATGGACGTGTTCAAAGACCAGTGGGAGAAACAGGTGCGCATCCTGACCGAGGCCGTGGACGACATCACCTCTGTGGATGACTTCCTTTCTGTGTCAGGTAAGGACACTGACACACTTAAAGGATGCATAAGCAACAGGAATGTGCCTTAAGTGAACTGTGTAGTGCAGAACGCATTGGTTTACTGGTTTTATAGATTAGTGGCCTTAACTGTTATATCATCTCTCAGTGGGTAGTGTCCAGGTGCTTCCATGTTCTTCCCATGACTTTCCTGTGGGTACTTTGATTTCCAAGAAAACTAACCAGAAATATGAAGTATACATTTGCTTATAAAAATGTCTCACAAAACAAAAAAAATGTTAAATAATGAACTCCCAAAGTCAGTATTTCAAATCCAAAATGTTTTTCAGTGTGCTAACTCAAGCTAGCCAGTGGTTAAATTCTCTCGATTTACCGGTCAATCTATGTTCCTACCCTCACCTATGGTCATGAGCTTTGGGTAATGACCGAAAGGACAAAAATGCAGATACAAGCAGGTGAAATGAGTTTCATTCGCAGAGTGGCTGACCTTAGAGATAGTGTGAGGAGCTCAGTCACACATGAGGAGCTTGGAATAGAGTCACTGCTCCTCCACATCAAGAGGAGCCAGCTGAGGTGGCTCGGGCATCTGTTCCAGATGCCTCCTGGGCGCCTCCCTCGGGAGGTGTTCTGGGCATGTCCCACCAAGAGGAGGCCCCAGGTAAGACCCAGGACATGCTGGAAGGACTATGTCTCTGGGCTGGCCTGGGAACTCCTTGGGGTCCCCCCAGAGGAGCTGGAGAAAGTGTCCGGGGTGAAGGAAGCCTGGGAGTCCCTGCTTAGACTGCTGTCCCCGCCGACCCCGGCCCCAGATAAGCGGACGAAAATGGATGGATTGGAAATTTATAATTTGATACATGTTTGAGATTTGACTTTATATACTTTAAAACTGAAAACTGTTGAAAATAAAGCCAGTTTGTGTTAGAGTAAACAGTATTGTGTATGCCATACAAGCAAGTAAATGTATTCATAGTTTACAGAGGAAAATACCATCAGTGAATATAAAGATTTGCATGATCTAAAACTAACCCTGCTTTGATCTGAAGGTCATTGAATACCATGGAAATCTTTGTTTTGATCCTGCCTCAGTGACCCACTTTCTTCTCCACCCCAGAGAACCACATTCTGGAGGACGTCAACAAGTGTGTGATAGCTCTTCAGGAAGGGGACGTGGACACTCTGGACAGGACCGCCGGAGCCATCCGCGGACGGGCCGCTCGAGTGGTCCACATCATCAATGCTGAGATGGAGAACTACGAGCCTGGGGTGTACACCGAGAGGGTGCTGGAATCTATCAAGCTCCTGTCCGAAACAGGTCGGTAAATCCTACACACAGTTTTAGTGGGAAATCTTTGACATCATATTGCAAACTGAATGAATGGCCCTGTACCTGATTTTTTCCCATGTATTTGAACAAAGTATGTCTTGCCCCTGTGCATCTAATTAGAAAGTGTTTTATTGTCTGATAATTAGGAAGTGCACCATAGCATAGTGTTGTTAGTTTTAATGTCACAGGAATAAAAACTAAGCTGGTCTCTGTGAGTTGGGAAAAGCACTAGTAAACTCATCAAGGTGACTGTTTAGGATCTTAGGGATGCTTATGGTAAGTTAGGAATAACTTTGGACCACCGCAACCTGTTTAAAATGAACTAATTCTGTTTTTCCATGTTTTTAACACAGTAAAAATCTGGGACAGCACAATTACTTACCAACTCACAATAGTAGAAGTTCCTGCACAAATTAGCTTCTTTTCTTTGTGTTACACTGTGCTAACAAATTGCTCAAATATAATAAAAATGAAATTAATGAAATGACAGTAGTGTTGTCTTTGAACCAGTTTGAAACCTGGCTCCATGAAGAGTGATCCTTCAGGCATAAAATCTGTGTCAAATGAACATGGGAAAGGGAAAAAACTAATTCATGCATAATAATTGTAACACACTGTATTTTTGTTTCTTTTGTAAAACCTCTTGGTCATCTTCAGCATTTAGACAAGCCATCCCAGTACCCTGTCCCACACACACATACACACACACACACACTGGCCCATTAGCTCTCTGTCTGGTCACTCACGCACACACGCACACACACGCACGCACACACACACACACACCTTAATTGCCTGGATGCCTAGTATCCCACAGTTTCAATCAGTGTCTTGGCTCCAGCACAGACCTACACACCACCTGTTCTGGCTTCTGCCACTACTTCACTATTTCTTCTTTACTGCGTAGACTGCTACCAGCGTGGGTAATTTGATTTAAAAATATGACTTGGAATGATATGTGCAAAGCTTTCATGAATATTTTCGCTCTGAGTGACACTTGAAATTTGGTATCCAAGTTTAAGCAATATCCTGGGATCCCATGTATATTTCACCACATAGTATTTTATTCCACTATGTTCTGATGCCTGAACTAGAGTTATACCTCTTAGACTCTCCTCTACACAAAAGTCCAGAAGGACATTGGCACAGGAGCAGAGTGAGACATCACACACCAATTTTAGCAAATAGAGAACATCAATTGTGTAGCAAGGCATTGTAGAGGCAAAAGTGTTGGACTGAGGAAGGGAGGGGGCGGTAAAGGTAATGTAAATTTATCATTGTGAACATTTACTGCAGGGCCCACAATATTCTGCTACAGCCCTCCTCATAGAGCAGTATATTCTTGATTGGAGATCATGCTCTGCTACATCAAGGTATTGTAACTAAATAATAGTACTTTTTGCCTTATTACAGCTGGAAGACCTATTATGCTTTCACCTGATATATTTGTTATTTGTTGTATTTGTTGTTTTGTATATATGTTTGACACCCGAGGATCCTTTTATATTTTAGACATTTTCAATCGCAGTGTTGATCTAAAACAAGTTTGCTGACTTTGGGTTGAAAACTGCGTACGTCACCATAAACGTCACTATAAACGTCATCACAAGAGCACTACACTGCCAGACCCTGACGATGATCCCACCTATGGATCGCCAGAGCAGTGGGTCCTTTTAATTTGCGCCGAAATTGCTAAGCAACGCTGCCGACACCTATGAACCTGTATGTGTCACCACTCAAAACCAAACTTAAGTAATCACATAACAATGGGCATTTATGACAGGAAGCAGGAATTTTCTGAGCAATGACGTCTTGATTGCAGGTAAATGCAGATTAGTCAAACATGCAGGGAGCACACTAAATATACCTCTGAGTAGGAAATGAGAAGGGGAAACAAATAGAAGATTGTTAAATTATCTTAGAAGTCAATGCTATGTCTTTTTGAATGAATCTAGCAAAGTTTTTGTTTGTTTGTTTGTTTGCTTGTTTGTTTGTTTTTTCAATTGGATGAACTAAGGCCAGACCCCTTCACTCAGCTCATCATTTAGGATTTATGGATTTTCCTTGAGCTTCTCCAATAACATAGAGATCTGTCATAGTCCCCATTGTTTTTAATTAAAGCAGGTAGGCAGCAGACATGTCATTACCAGCTTGCGTGTTGAAACTTGCCGAGGACGCTGTCAGAATGCAGAGAGCCTTTTCATACTAATGCGGTGCTGTTGATAGGTTTTATGTTAATACATTAGACTGATCCTAAACACAAAGACTGTCTTCTCTGTTTTCTCCAGGGAAAAAAACATTTGCGCTTCAAATTATGCCTGGAACATTTTTCAAAGACTGAAAAACAGAAAACACAGGATGAAAGAAATAAAGTAATTTTACAATTACCTGTCCAACACAAGAACAAAACCTCCTAGAATGTCTTTCTCTACCTCCATCCCTCCTCCCATCCATCTCTCCCATTAGAGCCCATTTAGCCAAGCGGTATATCCATTGTTTCACTGGGTACTTTCATCTGCAGGGATAATTGAGAGACACGCAATCAGCCCCCCCCACCCCCACCCCCCACTCCGCCTCCTGATAACTCGCAAACAGCATTAGGTGAATCACATGTCTTCTACCCAGCCATCTGTCTCAACCCCGTCTTAATGAGGCTGCCTACAGTAGCAGCGGCAGTAATATGGGATCTTAAATGCACGCTCACACGTACTACCCAAGTTTAGCTAAGAGTCGTTTGGGCTAATTAATTGATAAAGCACTGCAACAGAATTGTGTGCATATATACCTACGGGGGTCAGTCTCCCGTGGGTGTAACCTTGCCACATGCTAAGACTACATAATTGCTAGCTGTTCTATTGAGCCTCCATGGAGTAAGGGTTGTTCTAGAGTCAGCAAGACCCAGAAACATTATGTCAGCATTACCGAGAACAACAAATGGATAACTGTTGATGTTGCAGCATCGAATTGATCGAGCCTCTTATTTTTCTATGTCCTTTAATGAGTTATCTTCTGGCTAACATCATTATGGCTCAAAATGAGAAACCACAATCTGCACTTGTATTTTGAAAATTGTGCTTTTAAGTAGTGTCAAATTCTGGTGTTTATCTTTGAAAAGTGCTGTTCTACAAAATAGTAGGCGTACTTTTTTTTTTTGTCTTTTTTACTTGTGTTGACTTAAGTGGTTAAATTGTTCATTTTGCTATTTAAGTAAATTTTAGGAGGGAGATAATTATTTGAAATGGTAAAAGCATAAAAAAGTTGAAATTATTCTTCAAACATCCATTGAGACTTGTGTCATTCTTCAAATGAGTCAATAGATAAGAATAATATAACTATATAACTACAGCAGTACTACAATTTGAATATAAGTCTTCATTAAATATCTTCAAATAACAGTGTTCTTTCTTTTAGTTACTACACCGTGTGATTTTGCTTTTAACCTGTAAGAAGTAGTTTCTGTGATTTGCTTGGACCAACTTTATTCTGAGTTTGGATGCTGTACAAAGTTCACACTTCTGAACTTGTGTGGAGAGCCAGATTGTCCACGGCAAAAGAAAGATGGAAAGTACGACGCCGAAGCCAAAAGAAGATTACACGTGTGGGTTGTCTGAGTTTTAGTGCTAAATATATTCAACCAGATTTTGTACTGTTCTGGGAATCGCAGCTCCTAGAAGTTGAGTGGACAAAAGCCCATTTGCACTGCTAGCCCAATGACAAATAGAAATTTCAGATAAAATATGAGACAACTTAGTATATTGCGCCCATATAGCTAAGGCAGATAGCTATAACAGGCCTGACAGCATCATAACTTAACTTTTATTAGCACCATATTGGTAATAAAATGACAGCCGATACAAAAATGAACTGCTGCGCAAGAGACCACTCATTTAGTCTACTCCTAGAACTTTCCACGAAATCTGTGCATACTTTTTAATATCCGGGTTTATAATTAATGAAAAGTTTAACTATCACTGTAAAATGTAGAGACAGAAATTAACACCATTGTTCAATTTGCTGCGCTGTCCTTACTACCTCTGTGTATTTATAGGAAAGATGTCTGAGAAAGTTCTTCGAAAAATGTGCTAGAAAAGTTGTATTTCAATAAAAGCTCGATTACGGTGTATACGCTTTTGTAACTCTGCGCGTAGAGTCAGTGCTGTTGTCTTGAGTTGTAGCAGAGCCTTAAATGTCCAGTGTTCTTTAGCGTTGATCCCGGTTGCTAAGTGACACGTTAAGGTTCGGACATGGCCGCCCTGTCGCACAGTTTACGCTCGGCTGTATTTCTTTTTGATGAAGAGAGCTCATGTGTGCGTGCGCGTGCGTGTATGTGTGTGTACTTTCTGTTGTCTTCCTGTTTGACTTCTTAGTGGTCATACTTGAGATTTTAAGAGCTACCATGCACATCTGATCTGGACCATAAAGCACTTATCGATCCCGCTGAACTTTTGCCTGCCCCCTCCTCTCCCCCCGTCTCCCCCTCCTCTACCCCCTCCTCTCCCTCAGCACAGCGCAGACCTGATGCCTATAGATTTGAACACAGTCAAGGAGAAATCTATAGCCGGGGGAAAAATGATTAAGTGTAGCTGAACAAAGGAAAAAGGACCACACACTTTTTTTTTGAGGGTACTGAGTCCAATTAACTAGAGTCTACCAAGGAATCAATAACCTTCGCTAAGGATTTCGATGAGCAACTTGAGTAGGGTTTTCCAGCGCACTTCATTGATGTCATCCTATTTCCCCGTTCACTTGTACAATCCTTATCTTGTCCTGACCAAAGATTGTAAATATAACTGGACATAGCTCGCCGCCACGTTCCAAATAGGAAGTAAACAAGGGGCGCTTCCAGCTTCATCGACTCCAGCTCAGATTTACTTTACATTGAAAAATTGTCACCCCCTCTCTGTAAATGCTGCTGTGAGCCTCATCATTTTGGTCTTAAAATGTTTATATTAAAGGGACAGTCTGGAATTTTTGTACATAGGTCCTCA